AAAAAATAAATAATTAAAATTTTATACAAATATAATAAGTGAAATTTACGTATAAATAAATTTCTATTCACTTATTATTGTTGCAGTAAAAATATAGGAGAGTATAAGACTACCTCTCATCTATTTATTAGTTATACTTTTATTTGACATGCATGGGGGAAAAAAATTCATATAAACATACTTAATTTTTTTTTAATTATATTAATAAAATATATGAAAATTATGTCATAACAAAACGAGTACTACATCTATAATTTTATTTGTCCCTTTTACCTTTAGATGCAACTTTAAGAAAAAAAATTCAGCAAAATAACATGCTAAATATTATTAATCGATAATTTAAAACGTACAACTTAATTACGAGTACTTTGCGTCAGTGGCGTGGACCCCTAAAATATTGCAAAAAAACTATGTTAAAATTTTAAAGTTCAATAAATTCTATATATATATATTTATTTGTCCATTTTAAAAATTAAATAAAATGTATTTAGTCAAATATTTTAAATTTTAAAAAGAATAAAAGTTGTAGAGCTTGCCATTATACTTAATTTTTTAGATAATTAACTCCATTTAATTACTTATTTTCCTTCTTTCCATCCAATTTTTTTTTTCAATTAGCGTTAAGTTTCTTTAATTCTAAACATAACACACAATAATATAATCTCTCTTGAATTTTTAATTTTTTTGAGCAAGAGTCTCTTTTCAATTGAATTCTTAAAATTTCTATGTAGATTGCAACTCTTAGGCAATGCTCTTACATCTTTGAATAATTAAAAATTGTATTGTATTATATTATTTTTAAAAAAAAACTATTATATGGTAATTTGTAACTATTATTTTTTGGTAAGGATAGTGATATAGAGATAATTTTTTTTGTACAATCTCTTTATACAATTTTTTTATAAAATTTTTATAAGTTATTAAATAAGTGAATACATTCAATATCATAAGTTTTAAATTAAAAAAATTAATTAGTTTAATAATATGTAAGGTTGTTTTAAAAAGTTACCAAAAGATTGTCTCTTAATCTTTTTTTTTTCAGTAATTATTGTTTTAATTATTGTACTATTACTCAAAAAACGTTAAATTCATACTTTTGCATTGTTAAGTTTAGATTTTTTTTAATCTTTAGATTTTACTGTATAAAATATTTTATGAGTGCATTAAAGACACGATTGCATAAGGGATAATAATGTATGCACACTTGGATTCCACACCCGAGTTTGCACACACCATATAAACAAAAAAAAAAAAAACTCATCACCCGATTTAACTTTTTTTTTTATGTGAGGGGTACACACCCAAGTGTAGGATTCGGTGTGCACCAATCAGTGTCCTTGCATAAAACTAGAGTAGGAAGTCAATAAAATTGCAAATTAACATATTAGCTGTAACTTTTGACTAGAGGTGAATGACAACCATAAAATAAGTTTTCTTGTACTTTTGCTTTGTTTTTTATGATTATTGTCTCATTTGATTTTTATTTTAAAATTTTTGGATTTGGATGATTCTACATGTTGAGTTCTAGATATTAGATTCAAGTAATTTAATTAAAAAGCATAAAGGTAATTTCATCTCTTTTTCCTTTATTTTGTAGTAATTCTTTTTTTAGTCATATTTTTGCATTGTTTTTTTTATATTTTTGTGTTAATATATATTTACGGCTTGTGCTCCTTCTACCTACAAATTCTGACTACATCATTGCTTTATGTAATCACTATTAGAGAACAAGCCATAGCCGATAGATAATTCTATCAGTTATGGTTGAAACTCCATTGATTATACTTATAACAAACAAACATTACCAACAAAAGTTTTTATCAAATAAATATGAGTCGAAAATAAGCATAATCAACAGAAATATTTTTTTTGTCAATTATAACAAGTTTAATTAATAGCATTTTTTCAATTAAGTAGGTTACTGGCTAATGTTTTTACATTAAAAAATAGTATAATCGATAGTCAATATCTATAGGTTATACTCCAAAAAAGAAATTCAAAAAACTAATTTCATAGTTATTAATTAAATTATAAAAATAGTAAACAAAATTCACTTATAATCAATCAAGTGCCACAACAATATTTATTAAAAAAAAAAAAACAAAAACACACATTGTTAGTAAAGTTATAAATTATAAGATTTGATAGAAATAAAGGGAGATAAATTGCATAAATCAAAATTAGTAGTAAAAGTTACCTCATAATATGATTTCCAACTTAATAATTTGAAAACAAAAAAAAGTTGTTAGTAGATAAAAAAAAAAAAAAAACTTAATTTTATAGGAACAAAAAGAAATGTAAATGGAAAATAAGAAGAAATACCTTGAGATTTGTTTGAAAGAAGAAAGGCAGAAGAAAAGGGAGAAGAGAAAGAAAGAAGAAAGGGAGAATGAAGGGAAAAAGGGAAGAAAGAATAATAAAGGAAAAGAGGAAGAAAGATAAAAGGAAGAAGAGAGGAAGACAGGACGCATAGATCTGTTGGAAGGAAAGGAGGAGTGAGTTCTTAATCCCTCATTTTCATGACAAATTACTAGCAAATGCAGAAGAAAGGGGATTGGAATCGTAAACTAGTTAAGCCCTCCCTGCAAAACCCAGGGAAAAATAGGAGATGCTAGCTGCGTAAAAATTTCCTTTAAAAAAAAAGAGGAAAGAAAGAAAAACCTCATCGTTGGAAATGGTTGGCTACTTCACAATTTTTTAGGGCGCGTTTGGTTTATAAGAAAAAATTTTCACGGAAGCCAAACTGGTGGCCTCATATAAATCATGCTTAAAAATTAGTTATAATGCCAAGTCTGTAATAAGCAAATATAAGGCCATATTGCTGCTTATATTGTCAGGAAATTCTGCTAAGAAATTTTAGAAGATTTCATCCTAGATTTATAGCCAATTATATTCCAAATTGCCTATATTGTTATTGAAGCCTTTATAATTATTTTAAAACATTTATAACTTCTTCTTTTTTTTTTATTAAATTTCATGTCAAAGTTTTACATTTCGTTCGTCAAGTGACTTAGGCGGCTCATGGCTGAAGCAAAATGAATTTTTGGCCGGATGTTAAGCAAGCAAAATAATAAATCTAAACTGAGGTTTTTTTTGTTTAAAATTGTAAAATTTATACAAATTAAAATTAAAATATCAAAACCATATTAAATAGAACATAAATTCTATTCCACCATTATATTACTGATATTAAATTAATATAATTTTTTAATTTTTTATTCAATTTTTTACCATACAAATTGGTACTCATTCATTTTATATTTTTTTTGTCATTAATAAAAAAAATTTCAAAACAAAAAATGGGCTGCGGTAGGCTCAATAGGCACCAGTAATGGGCCTCAATGGGCCTCTATGTAAATTCAGGATCCAAGCGGTTTCCACTAAATTACCGCATGGGCCCAAGGAGTTGATCTAATCTTTATCGACTCCCACAGTCACACTCCAGCAGCTGTCTTAAAATAATTATAATTTTTTTTTAAATTAAAATTTTAAAAACAATTTATTTA